CTGTGACTCGGGGCCTCGGTTTAAACTGTCTCATACAAAGGAGCGAGTAGAACTCTATAATTTCTGTTTTTTCTTGTTGTAATTTTTAAGCTAAAATTACTGAAATCCCAGGGAGAGGATCCGGATGAGTGAAAAGGAATTATAATATGTTGTGCAATGTTATCACTGAGAACATCTTCCTAAAATGGTACTATGATTTTGTTCATAATGATGTATTTAATTATGTATACATATTAAGATTTTGTGTAAGTGCAGGACTGTTTGCTATTGCCCAAATGTATTCTTTGATATGCTTCAGAAATAGGCTTAGTTTTGTAGAATGATATAAATTAAGTTTCAGATCACGTGAACAGTTAAGATTTTATCTTATAAGATATGGATAGAATTTTCGTTTTTTATACTTCAGTCTTTTGACAGGACGTATTATTTTATAGGTTCTCGTCCGTCCGTCTGTCTAGCTGTCCGTACGTTAGTTTTTTTTTTCTTGTCCGGCTCATAACTTTAATACTATAAGGCATAGAATAATCAAACTTTGTCAGTTAAAACATCTTGGGTTGAAGGTGTGTTGTGCATTAATGGTAGGTCGCTATGACCTTTAATTAAGATGTTATTCTCAACTAAGGAAATATCCTGTCCGGCTCATAGCTAGAAAACTACTATTATTAGACCTAGAATTATCAAACTTTGCAAATGTAAGCATCTGAGGTAGAAAGTGCGTCGTGACCTTTTTCAAGGTCACCGTGACCTTAAATTGAAGTGAAATTAAAAAAAAACTATGTTTTTTGCTATTCATTTACACATCCTAAAAATGTAATTTAAATAAAAAAATAAAAATGTATTAAAAAGATAAATGTTAAATCTAAGAGCAAAACTTAAATATTTCAGGATATAATTTATAGCAATCTATAAAAAATGTAATGTTTGTTATAAGAGAAATTCTACCTCCCCCATGGGTATATTATCAAGCACTAGTCAAGAAGAATTTTGAAATAGAAAATTGCATGTCAAATTAGAAAGAAATTAATTCGTTTAGTGTAGAACATCTCTGACGAAGCAGGTATTACATGTATCTATATCTTTTGGAAATAGTGCAAGTGGGTTAGGCTGTTGAATCGAATTATTTTAAAATAGTTCTTGCTTGGTATCCTAAGTTAAAAAAAAATGATTAAAAGTAAGTAAGGGCAAGAAGGACCTTAAACAATTCCTATTGTTCAATTTTATTTTCATGTTTTGTATATATCTCTTATTCAGTATGTCCCACATACCTTAAAGCAGATATATCAATATGTTTCTAGACTTATTTTGAGATTTTGAGTGAAAATACTCTACCCCAAAGTGTCTAAGTAGAGTTTTGATTCTCAATGTTTCTGGGCCCATAAATCAGTCCATCGTTGATTTTTTCTGCATAGATAAAAATATGTCAGCGGATATGTGTCTTTTAAAAAAAATATTTCAGAGTAGGAATAGGGTTAAAAATCGAAAAAGCAATATTCTTCTGTCATACCGCATCTGAAGACGGAATATTACGTACCTTTAAAGACATCTTAAACATACAAAAAGACATCTTAACCAAAAAATAAAAAAAAAAAATAAATAAATAAATAAATAATGCAAATTTTGCAAAAAATCCTACCATTTAATATTTGAAAAATTACGTTGAAATTCAAGTTCGTTGTGTTCTTGATTTACAGAAAAAAAAATCAATTGGTGAAGCTGAGTTCAATATTCCACAGGGCATATTTAAACAATACATGAACTGTGTCATGTTAAACATTTCTCGAGTACGGGAAAACCCAACTATGACGTCGCACATTATCACACGAAATAAACGTATTAAGACATACCTACAAAATATTTCCATCAAGAATCATGTAAAAATATTTTTTGTGTTCCCTAATTCACAAAATATGCCTTCATGTTATGATCATGACCCGTTTTTATGATATTATACTAACCCTGTTTTACTGTGTATAATCTTACTGTACTAAGACATCCAGTATGACGTCAATGACTCAATGGACGCGCAAGGGAAACAGAAAGGTGGATCAATCTATTCCGTCATGTTCAAATATTTGCTAGAAAGTTTAAATCTTTTTAGATATTTTTATACAAGATCGTGAATTCACATATGCAGTCAAAAAATTATTTAAGTACTATGGTTTCAATATCGTTTTGTACATTCAGGGATTATGACGTTATTAAACTGAGTCATGTGAACATACATCCTTTGTCTCTTAAAACTAATTTGATATTCGATCATGAAAATAATCTTTTATTAAATAATTTCATTAAAACTTATTTTATTGCAATTGTTGAGTAGGGCGGTGGAATCTGCATGTCTATTTGTCCATATTAATTGCAGATTTTAACCCTGTCTGACATTAACGCTATAAAAATCAAGTATTTAAAAAATGCTTTAGAGTTGAAAGTGCAGATCCATTCATTTCTTGGTTATGAGTGGACAAGCATCCAGTTAAAAATTTTAAATTGATGAGTTAAATGTTGGGAGGCTAACTGTCTCAATCATATCTGTAGAGCATCTCTGATCAAACAGTCTTGTCTGTATCCTTTGGAAATTAGACAAAAGAACTCTGGTCAATTTATACCATATGTCATTTGATAACCAGCCCTAAAATATTTTAAAAATTAATTTGGAAAGATTAACTAATTTAGTAGATATTGATTAATACTAGTATGACGGGCATTTGACAAGGTCTTACACAACCAGTTTAGAAATTCATGATGTATATTTTCCAAATTTAGTGCTTACACCACAGGAGATGTGTAAACAGCACATACTTTAAGTTATAAATGAGAAAAATCAGAGAAATCTTTGAATCATGATGTTTTCGGATTCAAAACCTTGTGATTATTAAAAATTATTTCACGGGCATACTATTCTGTGGCGTGGCTCTTTATTTCTTACTTTTAATATGAGGAAATGTTATAATTAATCTTTTTTGTGTCCAGTTGATAGGGAAATTATTCTACATGTATATATCTTGTTCTCTTGTCATGTTTTGTTTGATATTTATTCAGTGATCTTTATACATATTTCTTTCACCACAATATGCTGAAAACTATTTTTTTTTTCAAAAATGTGCAATTACATGTACAAATTTAAGTTCAAGTTCTAGTACTTGAAAGGTGCCTACAGATGTATCAAATACAAGAAATAAATTCTTTTGATTCTTTAGTGTTCTTAGTTCAATATACCAGAATGTAATACCCAGGGCGTTTGGGTCAATGTCAGTGTCCCAGGTTAAAGGTTATGGAGCAGATTTTTAAAAATATATTTTTAAATTACATTTTGCTTTTGCTATATGTTTTCGTCCGTCGTCGTGCGACGTGCGTCGTTCGCCGTTATTAACATCGAACAATTTTAGCTTCTTCTCTTCAACCGCTGAACCAATCGCTTTTACTTATAATTTAATTCAAAAAGTCTTTAAATGAAGCTTGAAAATTAAATATTTTCATGCAACAATTTTCATTATATGTCTCTCAATGTGGTTCATGTTTCTTTGCAAAGCTCCATAAATCACTTCTAATTTCATGTCATGTTAATAATCATTGGTATCTAAAAATGCTTTTTCGGGATAAAAATTTCTACTTTTAATTAGACCTTTCTGAGAAGTTCAAATAACCTTGAAGCACATTGAGTGGCATATAATGAAAATTGTTGCATGAAAAGATTTAATTTTCAAGCTTCATTTAAAGGCTTTTTGAATTAAATTATAAATTAAAGAGTTGACCTTCCTGGCTGAGGGTTGGAGTCCCTTAATGATAAGGAAACATGTCATGTGCTTAACTGATTGATAAGCAAGTGCTAATTTATCATTACCAAATGTTTGAAAATCTTGTGACAAAGATTTCTCTGAGATAGGTTCTACCTTAAGTAGTTTATAAAAGTAAATTATAAATGATATTTGGCTTTTTTCTGTGATAATTCTGGATTATTTTCATATAAAAAAATATTTAAAATCCTTTAAACCCCATGTTATATTTTTAGATGTCTTTAATACAAGAACATGTAAATGTAACTTTACATGCAAAGATTATCACATATAAGGATCGTTATTTGGACGGAAGAGCTCCCATTGCAAGCAACGAGTTTCTAGTTATTATTTAAATTATTTTTTTTATCAATATTTTTATTATAATCATTCTTGTGAAACCAACCCCATTGTCATAATAACTAAAACAATCAGTATACGTGCAATAGTTTTATTTTATCACATCTAATGAAGATTAAATCGAAGAAATCAAAGCTTTCAGACTGAATTAAAAAAAAAAAAAAACAAAGTAAGAAAAGTAAAAGACTGGTAGTGTTAAATAAAAAGGAGAATATAGTGTACAGTGATCAATATAAAGAAAGATCCTTAAAAATACAAAATCACACAAAAGGCACATTAAACACAGACCAAAGTGTGCTTGGTAACAGTAAGCATCTCCTGACGATCGGTCACACTAGTTATGGACTCAGTCAAAATACGACCACATGATAGGTTATATTATTTTGCTAACAAGGTTATTATAACGACATGTCATTTTACAAAATCCTGACGTTAAAAGGTAGATGAAATCCCTGTCTATCAACTTTTTTGATAGTAGTTTGTCTTTGTTAAGAATAAAGGAACATGCTCAGAGCATGCCAAAAAGTTTGGGGACATTAACACGATACGTAGCTGATACTGGCACAACATCACAACATTAATCAAGAAATTTAACGATAGAAAAAACTAAAGGCATCTTGTTTTTCATACATTTTGATGTCATTTGACCTTATCTTCTATATGTTATACATCATTAAACTCTTTGATTGCAATTGATAATTTAATATAAAACAAAATAGCTGAGTGTAGTTCCAATTTAAAATTAAAAAATTGGTCTCAATACATGCAAAAATAAAATAAAAACATTTGCTGATCAGAATCACCTGAAACCTTCGAAATGTAAAAAAAATATTGTACACAATACTAGCATCCTCATAACAGAAATTAGTTTAAGCATCACAAAAAAAATTCAGCAATTAAAATCAAAGATAGGCTTATTAGTTTTCCAATGTCCTTTTCTACCATTTTTTAATCACAACATAATTAAGATCATTTTTAAAAACTCGGATGAAACCTAGCAATTTTAATCATAGCCTAAGTCTAAATAGAGTTTGTTGTCAGTTGCTTGATTGGTGGTTTCACCTGCCATGGAACCAGACTGTTCCAAATTCTTCTTGTCATCAGTCTACAATTCAAATTTGCCAATACATTGAACATTGTATCTTATAGATACTTAACATATTATCGTACAAATATAAGATCAAAAATTAAATTCAAAAATATTACTCAACATTGCATTTTAATATTAACAGCATATTATAAAATAAATGTTTATTGAATACTATGCAAAACAGTACTTGCCGATGGAGAGCTACAAATTTTGTCCTATACTCGGCACTCAAGGCCATTGAACAGTGAGGGATCTTTTTCGTGCCAGCACCTAATGCGACACGGGATCTCAGTTTTTGTGGCCTCATCCGAAGGACTGGTCTTCATGTCCCACAGTGGGATTCAAATCCGCGACATAAGAATTGACTCCTTACTTCATGACTCTATTGCAGACTCTCTAAAGCGGGTAATGCGGATTTCGTTATGTAAATTTGTAGTTTAGCTTGGTTTATTTAGATGCATTTTAAGATGTCTTTATAACTACATTGTACATGTATATATTTACATTTCCAATGTCTTTGTATGAGATAAAATTACAAATAGTTACTGTACTTAATTTCTCCATCAATGTACTGGTTCATCGATAGGCGCGGTGAAATAAAAATCACGTGCAGTGCGGGACAAATAGAGAAAAAAAGCGGGGCTTCAAGCACGTGGATTGGCGTAATCAATACCATGTAGATATAAGGAATACACTGTAGCTGTGAGATTTTTCGATTTCATGACGATGATCAATCAATTGGCATGCGAAATTATTTTATGCTTTATGCAAATTATCACGCAAGCCAATCGATTGATCACATCAGGAAATCAAAAAATAAGACAGTTATTCCTTAATTTATACAACATGCTTAATTGTTGTAATGAGATCGTAGATGTAAAAATCAATTTTACCAATGAATTCTTTTCATTCCATTCTTTAAATGCAGCAGTTGCCTGCTCAATGCTTTCTTCATCTGTCTTCTTACAATAGAATTCAATTAGTTGTTCTGCAAATGTATCGGGAATGATGAACGAAACCTAGCATTAAAAAAAAAATCATCAAAACCAAGATATAAAGAAAATCCCCTATGGAATGTTGTTTTGAAATATCTATACCTCGTTTTTTGCAATTGGTTTTGGTTTCGTCGGATCTTTCTTGCCGTAAAAGCGAACGTTATCTATTGGATTTTTGTCACCCATGCCATAGTCCATATTCACCGACTAAAATATTGAATACAACATACTTTATACGAATTCCATAGTGAGGCGCATGTTAATTTTAACTGTTAGAGCTCAAATACAGATTAGTATTACACTCAAGTATTGATTTAAAAGCCCTCTTTACTTTATTTAATCATTATTTTGATATGTTTTTGGAAATATTTTTGTTATAAAACTGTGAATATATCATTGATAAAACTTACATATGTTACAATATCTTTTTTTGTAAGACCGGTCTTCATTTTCCCTAAAATCTCTAGAAAACCATCTTTAATATCTTTGCCTCCAAGCTGAAACAGAAATAGAAAAGAAGTTGACTTTTTACATCATATGCTAAAAAATGTCTCTGAATTAAACCCAACCTCCGACGTTCAAATGGTTTTCGTTGATTTATTAGTATTATTGATGCATGTAAGATGTCCAAAATGTTCTAGATTATGGTATAAACGCATTCACAATTTCACATCATCTCTAAACAACAATTTAGATTAGTTAAATATGTTTTTAAAAAAGATATACCATGAAACTTTACTCTGGTACTTTTTCCAAGAATTCAAAGCTTAAAATAATTAAAGTTGAAAACCAGTGGAATAAAATTTGGAAAAAAAATAGTGAATATACGAGAAATAGATCAAATTTATATAAAAAATGTAAATATATCAATTGAATATGAAATATAAGAATAAAAAGACCCAGAGTTAAAATAATTTGAATTATTAATAGTAAAACTGTGTCTTACTAATGGTAAAAGCTTTCACAGAATAGTTAAGATTTTTTTTGTTACAGGTGCTTTAGCTTGAATTATTTTAACATATACATGAACAAAGACCTCAAAAACGCACCAAATCAACTAGTTTTGTTTTAATAAAAAATAACCCTTTTTTCAGAATTGTTTTTAAAATAATATGACGTCTTTAAGATAGTTACATTGAATATTAAGGAAGGTGAGAAGGAGACTTATTTTGAATGGGGAAGCCTTCCTCAGGCCAATCATTACGGTGGATGAAACTCTGGTATACCATTATGATCCGAGTCAAAAACTGCTTATCTGAACCTCCAAGAAATGTGTGTTGTTTTTCTTGATACTTTTGTGCTATGCCATACTGTACCACAAGGTCATAGGATCAATGCACCCTATCCTTGAAATGTAACTGACTTTAATCCGTTTAGTCCGAATGTTCCTACATACAAAAAGTCTTCAAAGGTTTTAAGTCGAGGACCATGACTACTTGTGACTGTCATATTCGATGAAAATTTTTCTTTACTACCCAGAAAATGGTTTGAGAACGTTTTCTGGATGCGGGTGAGAGGACAAAAGTTTACGTAGAGCGGGATAATCATAAAAGGGCCAATCAGGTTAATTCCAAATTTCTAAGTCTGATTTGAAAAACATCTTGATTCGTTCCTTGAAAATTTTGGTGTTTACCCTGACTATAATTAGGCTTAAGGCAGTTTTTAAATCACTTTTGGATCAATCTCGTATTTCATGTATTTAAGACTGCTCTAAAATGATATCCATAAAGAACAAAGTACGGAGTTTGCAACATTTTAAACTTTTTTTTTTCGTTTTTTGATGTTGACCATTGAAGTAAGTAAGATGCTGACAGAATTCTTCATGCACAAATATATGACAGCTTTTCATTTTGACATCACCATTGCGCGCATCATAAGAATTCTTACTAACAAATATACATTGCAGGTTCCAGTAAATGTTCAACCAAGCCTCTTTCGTTACTCCTCAATAAGATATTGACAGTAGTAAAGGAAAAACTTCAAGAGCACTGCGCAGCTATATATTCAAGAAGTGTGTGAATCAGATGTGGATACTAAAAATTCTAATGAACTTTTGGACACTTTGAAATCAGAAGACTTTACAAAAATCAACAGCTTAAGGACCCTCTCTAAACTGCACCCTAATTTCAGGGTACTTGCGTGTAGTTAGACTGACCCGCCATTTGACATAAAAAAGAATAAATTGTAATTTGCACTGTATGACAAAATTTTAAATAAATCCATGTATTTTAAACATTATGTTAGACCAAGATAGAGTAATTGAAAACTTTATTTGCATGTATTTTCTCCATTTGAATAATCAAAAGCAATTTTTCTTTGTCATTACTTCACTGTCTTCAAAGATTTTCCTGGATAAAGAAGGCACGCTCCCTATATTAGAAATGGATAAGTTTATTTCAAAATAGCCTGCTTTAATTATATAATTTTCTCAAAGTCCAAAAAACATTTTTCGTCAGTGTATAGAGGGTTCTTAAATACTTAAGACTTTTCAACTTTATACACAATAATTCCCCACTATAAATAAAAATCCAGGCTTTTTGATATCAATGACAGCTGCTTTTTCAATAGAAATGGAACTTGTATATTTACATACCTCGTCATTGGTCATTTGCAAAATTATTTTGTCAAAACAAATTCTGATTGCACACATAAGTACTCTGAAGTTGACATCAAGAAGATGCTTGCGTTTCTGATTGAAACCATCTATGTGGTTTTTGGAGACCAGGTATTCCAACAATCTATTGGAATTCTCATGGGTTCAAATTACGCTCCGTTATTAGCAGACCTATTTTCATATTCATATTAAGCAGAATTTTTGCAAAATCTTATGCGTGAAAAGAAGAAAACACTTGCTGTGGCCTTCAACTCGACATTAAGAAATATCGACGACGTATTGTCAATTAATAATGGTAATTTCTATTTTTACGTCGATACGATATATGCTGGTGAGCCTGAGATAAAAGATACCACAGAGTCTGACACTTCTGTACTTAGATATTTTACTTGAAAAAGACAATAATGGTAATCTAACAACCAAGCTATATGATAAACCTAATGACTTTAACTTTTCTATCGTCAACTTCCCTTACTTATACAGCATTATACATTCATCAACTGCATACGGAGTATATATATCTCTTGGTTGATTCGATACGCAAGAGCATGCTCTACGTATGCACAATTTCTAAAACGAGGTAAATTATTGACAAGCAAGTTTCTGATTGAATCCATCTATGTGAGATCGTAGCTTATATGGTCGATACAATGACCTTGTCAGCAAATAGAAGTTATCATTGAGTCAAATGCTGACTGACGTTTTTCGTACCAATTGTTAGTCCATTATGTATACACTTAATTGACAACGGATTTCTTCCGTTATTTTCTGATCATGACAAGGAGCACACGGCGGGTGTGACCGGTCAGCAGGGGATGCTCACTCCTCCATGGGACCTGATCCCATCTCTGATGTTTCGGAGGTCCGTGTTTGCTCTGCTCTTTTTTTGTACTGTTTAGGATTTTGAGATTGAATACTGTTTTTTGTATCTATATCCTTCAATGAAAATTTCCTTAACTACGCTGAAAAATTGTGAAACATAAGTAATCTTTCCTAAAATTATATCCTATCACATGCGATATTTTTCAATATAAACCTACATACACATAAATTATATCAATATATCATTTAATTTTGAAAATGTTTGAACGGAGCAAATTTGAAATGCGGCATTTTTTTGGTCATTTATCGTACCTGTTGTTATCGTACCTTTGATATGAAAAAAAAAATTCTGTCAAATATAGGCTCTTGCTAAAAATTGAAGGTAAAAATGTTGATCTTTCTTAAAAATCGCTGGTGTTGGATAAATAAAATGTCAAGTTTTTTGGGGGGATCGGAGGGGGGTGCGGGGTGGGGGTGAACATGGGGCAGGGGTTTGTGTTTTTCTGTTTACGAATCATTTTTTTTTGGACTGGATTTAAAGCATTGTTCACTGTTCGTTATAACCATATTTTACATTACCTTTTGCTTTATTGGACGAAGGGTTTGACCCACACATTTGTACAAGTCCCTCAATTGAATTTTCTCCAGAATTTTCCTCGAAGCTTCTAGACTGGGATTTCTAGACCATAAAATATCCTGAAAAATGTTATCTGTCAGTTTTTGGTATGCATCCATATCATTCACCGTTTCAGATATTGTCACCTCCTTTCTGAAATACGGAAGTAAAATTTCATATCCTTTGAAAGGTATTCTTTATCAACACATTTATATACATAACGTACTAAAATATATTTGAGAAATACCTTCAGTTTTCGCAGTTGCATTTAATAAGCGGCCGGCCCCGTGGTGATCCGGGTTAGATTAGGTCCTCAGTACCCCTTTGCTTGTCGTAAAAGGCGACTAAATGGGGCGGTCCTTCGGATGAGACCGTATAAACTGAGGCCCCGTGTCACAACAGGTGTGGCACGATAAAGATCTCTCCTTGCTCAAACGCCGTAAGTGCCGAGCATAGGCCTAAATTTGCAGCCCTTAACCGGTAATAGTGATGTCTCCATATCAGTGAAATATTCTGGAGAGGGACGTTAAATAGTATACAATGAATCAATCAATAAGCGGCCGTTTAACAAGTTTAACAATTAATAATCATTGACATGGGCGGATATAAAATTTGTGAATGGGGGGGGGAACTTCGTTCAGGCAGGGGGTCCAGAGGCCACCTTAAGGCCCCCAGTGGGTCCAGGGCTAAACTATAAAAATGGTGCACAATATTTAATAATAATAATAATTATAATAATAATTCTTTATGTAGAGAAGAATAGAAATAGGCGTATAATTTTTTGGATCTAATTTGTTTCCCTTTTTTATAGACTGGGGTAACTTCTGCAAGTTCAAAACTCTCGGGGGAAAATGCCAGATATGGTACTAGTATTTATAATATTGGTCACAGGTTTATGTATTATTTGTGAAGTAGGTTTCAATAGACGTGACCCGATGGTATCAACATCTGATGATTTACTTATATCTAGTTTATTAAGTAAAGTAAGTACTTCGTTATGATTTATAAGTGGGATAGAAAACTTGTCTGCACATAAGTAAGACTTAACAAAATCTAAAAGAACTGTAAAGTAATTTTCCTCCTTACATATGCCTGAAAGAATTTCTGCAGAAATATTTAAAAAACTAGGAATTAAACATTTCTACTATTTATTGCGTATCCTATGTGATATAACTATTTTTAGCACGTGCAGCTGCTGGAATACAGTTACGAGATTTAGAGGCTAAGTTGTTAAGTATATCCCACATTTGTTTTGAATTTTTGTTTTGTTCTATAGATGTTTTATAATAACTCATCTTGGCGTTTTCAATTAGTGATGTACGTAACTTTATTGCGCCATATTTTGAAAGTTTCAAATATTCTTCATTTTTATTGAGGGTATCACGCTTGCAGAATTTCTTGAGCTAACCATGTAGGTCTTGTGTCGTGCTTGACTCTTTTTGTTTTTACTTTTGCACGTTTATTTAATACAGCATTAAAAAGTGAATAAAATTAGTTTAGTGCTTCATTTGGAGCAGATAATAATTCAAATGATTGGATATTTACCTTCTTTTAAGTCTGCAAGAAAATTAATTTCATTAAACAGTTTAAAGTATTGTAATATTATTTCTAATGTAAATGCTACGCAGAAATATATTGCTAATGCATCTGCTTTAATCAGAAATGGATCCCCAAGCTATAATATATAATTCTCTGAATAAGGTCGCAATCCTAATCTCCGTAAAAGATTTTTTTAATTTACGCTTGTGTTATTTTCAAAACAATTGCACCAAAAGGCTGGTAGACATTTGATTTGTTAAATCAATTCGATTCTTGATCGGGAGGTACCGGCTTTGATTCTTGTTACCGGTGTCGCATCAAACATCATACGTAAAAGAGGTAGTGCCTTAATTTTCGCCAAGCGCCTACCATTAAAAGTGAAAGACGCGGGTCTTTAGGATATAACCTTAATTTTGACTGTTTAAACCATATCCCTCAGACCTTAAAGGGGTAGTTACCATGAAAATCATAAAGTTTGTTTTTCTTAAGAAATAGATGCCTTATGCTAAAATTGGTTAAAATTAGTTCAGCGGTTTTCGATGAGAATCTGAGAATGTTCAGATGTTAACATACGACGGACGACTGACAACGAAAGGTCGACGACAATGGACGATAACAAAGAGGAATAGCTCACAAGAGTCAGTCAGGTGACTTAAAAGATGATGCTAACTTAGTGTGTTAAAATTCATGATGTACTTTAAGTGCTTTTAATTTTATGGCGGTAGTCCACGATCATTCTAATAACCCGTCGTATAGTAATTATATCAGAATTCAATGTCTTAAAACACAAAATTGATCATAGTAAGACTACTACCAAAGATAGCTCGGCAACTAACTTAAACTTATACTCATCGACAAGTGAACAAAAACTCCAGCTGCAGTAATAGAAATCTAATGTTTTCAAGATACGAAATTAAGAAATGAATATCATGTTATAAAATAATTACCCATCCTTGTCAGAAATCAGTCTTACATCCCTTGCCAAAAACAATGCTTCTGTAATCCTGAAATAACAAATTCTTTGTTTTGATCCAGACAGTACAGTCAAAAAGAACTAGCTTATTTGAATCAATATCCCCTGTTCCCTTTCCCTATATTTCCACACAACTTCAAAGAAAAATGGAGAAAAAAAATATTTATATAAGCACTATCTATGTTAGACAAGAAATTGGATCCTGTGTTACAGAATAGATATGTCTATAAAGACATACTTTTTTTTTCCCTAAATACTGAACATGAATTATGTATTAATCAAATTTTCTTTGTTTAAGGTTAGGCAAAATGGAAATTTTTTATATTCATTTTTGGTGAATATAACTAATCTCACATCATATTTAGATTACTTACATGGCATCAATGATATTTCCAACTCTATGTTGGCATGCTATTCTTTGAAGAATATTCCTGGTATGAAACATTTCGTATAAGTTGCGAACCTCCTACAAAAAATACAAAAATATGGATACATCTTCAGTCCACTGTTCTCCATATTTTAGTTATCTGTATTTAAACAATAATAATAAACAAAATTTCTTTGTTCATTATTGTTTATGACACTATCCCGGGTAGCACAAAACATTTTCAAAACATTTTATTGGTGTTGTAAAAAGGTTTTTTCGAAACATTTCAGACAAAACATTTTAAAAATGTTTTTAAAACATTTCCTATTCTCATTAAAACATTTTAAAAACATTTTAAAAATGTTTTCAAGAAGCTTATGATTAAATCCTTTTGGAACATTTTTCTAAAATATTTTTGAAACGTTTTGAAAATGTTTCAAAAGGTATGTTTAGCTTTCAGATATCAAAGATTTTTATAATACGTTTTAAAAACGTTCTAAAAACATGAAATGAAACATTCCTTTTCCATAAATCTGTAACATTGCATAAATACGTTTTTGAAACATTTGGAAGGAACGTTGTCAAAATGTTTTTGAAACATTCTTAATTCATCTAAGGGTATTTATAGCTTTCAAATATAAAAGATCTTATAAAACGTTTTAAAAACGTTCTTAAAACATGAAATGAAACATTTTTATTGTGTAAATCGGAAACATTGGATATACGTTTCTGAAACATTTGTAAGGAACATTCTAAAGATATTTTTAAAACATTCTTAATGTCGCTGTTACTTAAAAACATTCAATTCCGGATATTTTTCGGCGTAGGCAGTGAAAATGTTTATTTAAAACATTAAGTAAAATAATTATTTTCACTACAATTGAAACATTTTAACTATAGTTTTTGTAACATTTTTTGGAAACATTTTCAAAATGTTTCTGAAACATTTATGTAAATGCGGCACAATTTAATTCATTTAGTAAATTTAAGAGTATGTTGTGAGAATGATCTTAGAACATTAATTTAATGTGTTTTCTTTTTTTAAAGACTTCATTTTTCATTGCTGCTGTTATTTTCAAAATGTTCTTAAAACATATAAAAAATGTATGATTGCAATTTGCCTAAAATTTAGTTTATGAAAAAAAAAAGAATATATAGAAAGAATAAGTGTTAAAATGAGGAATTGTAGAAATTTTTTTAGTGAAAGATTTTTCCCGGTATTTCATAATGATTTCTAGTTTTGGCTTATTGATTAAACAGATATCATTTTCATAAAGTCCTTTGATTAAACAAATCAAAAAATCAATAAATGAAAGGATAGGCAAACAAAAAAAAAAATAATTAAAATATAAATAAATGTATAAAATCATAAGCATTGAATAAAACTCTTAAATGTATTTTTTTTTTAAATGTTCTTCATCAAATCTGTGATCCACTCCCAGAATTTCACTCTGAGGCATTAGATAGGGATTGGCATACTGGTCAGTTTCAGTGTCATGATAACCTATTATGCAATTCTCCTGCTGGGCAGGGCGTTACAGAGTATAGTGGTTTGCTGCTTATCTAGGCCAAATTTTGAATTCTGGTAAACAAGATGTGCGCGCTTACTCCGTACCGATTTGAATGAAAAGACTTCGCACCATATAAACCACAATAATAACCTCGGGATTTATTAACTTTGGACGGTAAGAATTATTCCTTTATCATAGGCTTTAAAAGATCATTTAAAAACGACATTTATACTACCAGTGCATGATCAATAACTTTGTACAAATGTATGTAGCAATGACAAAGCGTTAAGATTATATACATATTTGATTTGAATATTTCATTCTTAAGGCAACACAATTATATCCTTGATTCAAGTATTCGTTGTCTTTGTGAAATGTTAATCATCAAACAATATGTTGATTTAAAAATGAAATTTCTTTACAGCATGGTGTTTGGTTGCATCATACGTATTTTCAAATTCCCACATTCAAAAGACCCGCCTTTGGTGAAGACAAAGGTGTACGTAAATACTATTACTCTTCAATAATTTTGTCATAGTAATTATTTTTCTGCTTTTTCAATGCAAATGAGGAAATAACTTAAATTTGATATAATTATTTAAAATATTTTTTTGTATATTTTCACGGATCATCTTAAGATACATTAGATGTAGAACGCTGATACAAACACAATATTCCTTATCTTTACAGATTGTGCTATTCTTTCCGAGGGGCAGATTCCTTATCAGCCTTTTCATTGTATGTGATTCTAACTAAGTCTTATAGATCCGCCACTCTGTTCGACCTATACAGTGAACATTGGATTTCTGTGATTCTGTTCTTTTATAATTCATTGAATGGATTAGACGCCGTTTTCAACCTTTAAAAACCCGGTGACTTGAAAGAAAATAAATTAAAACTTGTACCGAAAATGGAATTTAAATGTGATTAACATATTGAATATGGGTTTGTATTAAAGGTTCAAAAATTAAATATAATTTGTGTGTATTTTTTTTTAAATGTAAATATATCATTTTTTAATGAGAAAAAGTAAAAATTCAGGAAAAATACTTTTGTAACCTCAACTTTAATGCTTTGAAAACGTTTTAAAACCAAACAATTTAAACGTGCATAAAACATTTTTGAACATGTTTTTGTTACATTTGAAAACAATGTTATGATAACAATTGTTGAAATATTTTGTAAAATGTTTTAAAAACATTTAAAAAACCATACAAAATCACGTGATTAAAACATTGTTGAAAAATGTTTTTGTAACATTTTAAGAAAATGTTCCGGAAACATTTGCTGAAATATTTCACTAAAATGTTTTAAAAACGTTTAAAAAACCATACAAATTCACGTGATTAAAACATTATTGAAAATGTTTTTGCAACATTTTAAGAAAATGTTCTGACAACATTTTACTGAAATATTTCACTAAAATGTTTTAAAAACGTTTAAAAAAACATACAAAATCACGTGATTAAAACATTTTAAAAAATGTTTTCCCAACATTTTGAAAATGTTTTAAAAACATTTTAAAAATGTTTTTGTGTTAGCTGGGATGTTTATCTTTATATATTTACATTTCCAATGTCTTTGTCAGAAATAAAATTTCAAATTTTAAATGTACTTTATTTCCCAAATCAATTGGTGCGTTAAAAAAAAAAAAAGAAAACAAAAAAAAACACGTGCAGGGCAGGACAAACAGGTAGACAGAAGCAGGGCTTGGAGCACGTGGAATTGCGGAATCAAAGCATGTACATGTAAATATCATGAATAACTGCCGTATTTTTTTAATTTCATGACGATGATCAATCGATTGGCTTGCATGATAATTTTATGCATAATCGCCTTCGGCGTTTATGCAAATTATCACGCAAGCCAATCGATTGAGCACATCATGAAATCGAAAAATAAGACAGTTATTCCTTAAATCTAGGATGTCTGGTGCACTCTCCTATTTTGGAGGAAAGAAATAATGTTCTTTATGAGAAAGAAGAAATTCTTTGTCTCCAAAAAAAATAAAAAATAATAATGACATACCCTTGAAAAGACAAAGTCCAGATTTTATTCCCATTAAAATCAGTAATTAAATAATTTCAAGTACATTTTAAACTTAGAATAGAAATAATATTGTATAATACATGTAAAGTGATAGCAAGTTTATAATTTACAAACATGACTTTATTCATTTATTGCTTGGAGCACTCTCTTTTTTCACTGAATTGTCAGCACTGTCTAATAAATTAAACATGGAAAACTTTGTTTTCAAATCAAATTTGGAACACTATTTAAATGTATGCTCTGTTTCATCTACATCAAACTTAAAGCACTTATCTAAAAAAACCAAGGCTGGGAGAAACATTGGAACATCTTATATTTCTTCAAAATCACGACACTTTATGTTTCATTTCATGAGCACTTTTTGGTTCATCGATTCAATAGCTGTATCGATACAAATCCAGGTTTGCTGCAACGGTGAACCACAATTGAAATAACAGCCACTATTGAAATATTGATTTCAATAGTGGTTGAAAGTGGATTTCAAAACAGAACATAGGTTGTAACTACTATTGAAATAACGTTTATTATTGAAACAATTATTCAATGGTGGTTAAAAAGTGATTTCAAAAGCCAAAACAGATTACAACCACTACTGAAATAAAGTTCGCTAATGAAATACTTATTTCAGTTATGACACTTATTTCAATAAACTACTGCAAAATATCCACTATTGAAAGAAAAGTTATGATTTACTAAATAAAAGTTTTACATTATCAGCAAGAATAAGTATATGAAATGTGACCAAATATTTCTATTGTTTACACGTACAATAATGCATATATAAATCTTACCGAAGTTGTTTATTAATTTGCCTTGCCCTTTGTTCTCATTTCAATTTGAATGTTACATGTACCTGTCCAATAAGTTCATTCTTATCGGACACTTACAGGTAATTTATTGGACAGTAACAAATATATTGAACCAGATTTAACAAAACATGACGTCACAAAAATGTTTTATCAAAAAACCATTGAGCCATCTCAAAGTCGTTAATGGTTGCTAAATGAAGCTTAATTGGGGCTTAACGATATGTTATTGGTGGTTAATGGTAGATTCTAGACAACCATTAAGTCACCATTTGGCCACCATTAAGCCCAACTTATAGATGCCTTATATCAAAACTCCATTAAGCTACAAAGGATATGGAGATAACGAACAGCATTCAATCTCAAAGTCCATAAAACAATACAAAATAAGAGCAGAGCAAACACAGACCTCCGAAACATCAGAGGTATGATCAGGTGCTATGGAGGAATGAGCATCCTCTGCCAACCGGTCACACCCACCTTGTACTCCTTGTCATGATCAGGAAATAACGGAAAAAATCCGTCGTCAATTCAGTGTGTAAATATTGGAATAACAATTGGTATGAAAGACATCAGTCAGCATTTGACTCAATGATAAATTGTATTTGCTGAAAAGGTCATTGTATCGACCATAGAACTTACGAAATGATGAGATTAAACGCATAGTCTTGTTTCGTCAACTTGCTTGTCAATCATTTACCTTGTTTTAGAAATTGTTCATCCGTAGAGCATGCTCTTGCGTATTGAATCAACTTAGATATATATACTCTATATGCAGGTAATCAAGATATATTGCTGCATAAGTAAGGGAAGTTGACGATAGAAAAAGTTAGTCATCACTTTTATCATATAGCTTAATTGTTAGATTACCATTGGTGTCATTTTCAAGTAATCCCTCATAAAACCACCATTACGCTGTCGATAAAACTGTTTGTATGGGTAAAAAGTATTTTTATAATGATTTTTTTCTCAAAAATCCTAAATTAGTCTTAACATTAGTTTACCTAGTAGAATAATGCAAAAGAAATAAACAGGTACCCGACATGTTTCGAACCTAAGGCTTTAGGATTGACGAACAACCTCTTAACTTTGAACTGTTTTGTTTTCTTGGTTACTGTGACGTCCTGAGAGTCTTTGTATGAAAGGAAGAAATCCATGACGCCATAGTATCTTGTGTTACGAAAAAGTTAGGTAAATGGATCGGACAATAAATCATGACCTTTTTTCAGTCTCAATAAACAAGAAACAAAGAAACTAATTATACAAAAAACCCTTATAAAAATATTAATATGTGCTAAGTTTTGGTGAAAAAAGATTTATAAGATAGTTCTCTTTCACTATATTCTTTTTGCAGCCGAATCGTTCTTAAGTTGATAAAATGGAAAGTAACAGCATAGTTTCCTTGAGAGCAAATGTCGAATTGCTCACTGCATGGAGTGTATCTGATGCTCGGATTATTAATTTGATAGCGATGGACGTGCAAGCGGGAGGTTAACTGGGACCCGGTTTGTCATAAAGTGTCGTGATTTTGAAGAAATATAAGATGTTCCAATGTAGTCCTCTCCACAGTTGCTTTAAATAATATAATAAAGAAGATTTTTGGTTTTACACGACATGTTATCATTAAAAAAATCGACACTTGAAATAATGGAGGTTTTTGTTCTTTTTTTTAATTGGGTGGTTTTTATTGGCTGTGATTTAAGTCAGATATTTGTATTTGTTGTTGAAAATAATTGTCCTGTACCATGATTGTATAGTTCTTATTAGCCTATTGAAATATCAATATATCTAAGGCTAAAACATCTCTAACTCTAAGCAAGTATAATTTTTTTTTTTTTTTGAAAATGATAAAGTTTTTGAGATATTTGTGACTGTGGACATTCACATATATTAGACAAACATTTCAGAATCAAAATTTAGCTTGACACAGATAGCCAACTGAGCCCTTAAATTATGAAATCTATTATCTTTGAGAGTACGCAAACACATACCTTGTCTCGGAAACATATTTGAAATCCCCCGTCTTCCGTTTCCAAAACTTTAGCATAGTTCATACATCTGGTGTGATCAAAATTACTATTGATGCCTACCATACGGCAGTCCCGAGCAAAATAATCCCATTTATCTACATCAATCCCATTTCTCTTGTTTGACACAATCTGTATCAAAAAATACACGGAAATACTTGAAATAAGGTTTAAGATAAAAGCTTGATCAAAAATCACTTTCTAAAATGAGAATTTTTAATATTAAGTTTTTGTCAGTGTGGTCTGTACCACGTCACTGCGTCCTTGATAAGATTTTTTTTTTAAAAATTATGTCAAATTCTGGATACCCATTGTGTCCCAGCCCTATATTTTCCAATATAAAATACACAAATATCCCCTCATATAAGAATGTCATCAGAGCCGTCTTGTTTTTTTAAGAAGATTTTTAGCAATTTTTTCTATGTATGCCACTGTAAAATGTTGATCGAATATAATGGACCCATCCTATACCAAGTGGTCATGATTTAAACAGATTTGAATCTACATTATGCCAGGAAGCTTTCACATAATTTCATTATCTAGCACAGTGGTTCTTGGGAAGATTTTCGATTAACTCCACCCAAAACTTTATATTTCTTAATTATTTCAACTTGGAAGAGGATGTGGTTCATCATTTGATTTAAATTAAAACACATTTAACCTAAGGATAATCTGTGCAATGTTTCTTTGGCATTGTGTAAGTGGTTCTGGGCAGATAAAACTGTAAACAAAAATAATCTACGAAGAAGATGACAAAATCAACGACACACAGCATAGAAATAAGAAAAGTTCATTTAAGCCTTAAACTTAATTTATTTCCTGATTGAATCGGGTTTTTTTTTTCATAAGAATAGTTAAAAATAACCTGATTGATAACAAGCTGATTTTTTTGATAATTTATAAATATAACTATGAACATGTATCGTCCAGATGAAATTCTATAAAATACTAATAATCACCTCAAACAAAAACTTCCTTTTCCCATGATGTCTTTCGTTATATTCCTAAAAAAAAAATATCGGTCTGAATTGTACATTGTTTCGTTAAAACTGACAAAAAAATACACAAAGGGCTTCATTGGTAATCAGTATAGTACATATTGTCAAGGCTCTGGTGAAGTACATTGTATGAAACAAAAAATAAATTGAGAGATGACGATATGTTGCTAAAAGGAAAGAAAAAATTAATGATCGGGGATTATTAAATTTCTTTGTATAGTCATGATAGTACTCAGTTAAGGATGTTCGATCCTGACATTTTGAGCGCATTTCGCGCAGGTCCTTTATTCATAAAATTAAGCATCATTTTTAGGTTCTAACAATAAAACTGAATTCTACAATGCAAATTAAACTATATTCAATGAAAAAAAAACGCGATTAAATCCCATTCAAGTAGAATTAAGCTAGGGACTATATTTTGTGGCGGAAGGTTTTTTTTAGACGAAAATGGTCATTTTTTTCCCATTTGAACTATAACAGTACTGTTAATTTTGGATGCCTACTTTTCCATGCTGGTTGCACACAAAGCTGTTTTTTTGCAGTGAAATATGTTATGCTGATTCTGAAATATCTATCAAATTATTTCATATGAATTCTATCAACAAAGCGTGACAAATATAGTAAATATATTCTGAAAATCCGGGAAAAAATTGAACCAATTTTATCGTAAAATTCACTTTTTTTAGTAATATCTGAAAATGTACATCATATACCCCCACTTTTGATGTTATTTTCTAAATATTCAAGATAACTTTGACCTATTTGCTTAAAATCAGAAAAGGTTTAAGACTTTAAAATAATTTTCTTGCTTATTATATTTTCAATGCCGGAAAAATAACATTTTATTAGTGCAGAAAGGTCAAATAATTGATTATGCGAAGCAATTTGAAACTTTTTCTTAGTCACAATTTTTAAGTATCTTTTTTTAAACAGACTTAGAGTTCATTTTGTTTCATGCTTTAATTGGATAAAAATATTGGAGGGAAAACGTCGAAGATGTAATTTTTAATTAAGACACAAATTTCAGTGCAGAAAGGTCATATTAAATGTACTGTAGCGCTAAAAGAAGCATATTGACTCCCATTTGTTGATTTGAATTTTTATTAAGCAATGTATGTAGAAACTAAAAATATACTTGGCAAAAAAAGTTTAAGACTTTAAATATCAGGATCAAACGTCGTTAAAAATATAAATTAGATCTATATACTCGGCAGCACAAAGACAATCCTATTTGTATAATTTTGTCTCATTATGTTCCCAAACGAAGTTGGGGAACATAATGTATTTACCCTGTTTCTTATTATTATTATTATTATTATTATTATTTTTCTTCTTCCTGGGAAAATCTTCTCCGCGAGTGATCTTGTAAACTACACATTTGATTAAGGTGAAACCTTTTTAGGGTCACTAGGCATGTTATGTAGATTTGCGGAACGAAGGTCATTTTGCGTGCACGTTCTTGCTAGAGCGTGCAAGTGCAACACTTGAAATGACCAATATAATGAAGATAGCCGTAACTTTTTCAATTCTTGATGAAATGCTTTGAAACTCATAATATAAGGATACATTAGTAGAATGAACAAGACGACATGGTCAAAATAGCAAGATTTCACGCGCATGCACGTGCGCTTCGCTCTGATTGGCTGAAACTAAAGTCTCAATATCTTTCTTGTATTTTGATAAAATCCTTTAAAATTTAACATAGTCATACATTAGGGAGATCAACAGCATGATATATAAGAATTATTATGAAAGCATATGCATGCACGTGTGCTTGCAACAGCGCGAACGTGCAACACAAGAAATGTCCAATATAATTGATATAGACATAACTATTTAAATTTTTGATGAAATGTTTTGAAACTCATAATATAAGGATATATTAGAAGCATAGACAAAAGGACATGGTTAAAATAGATAAATCTCACGCGCATGCACTTGCGCTTCGCTCTGATTGGCTAAAACTTAAGTCTCAATATCTTTCTTGTTTTTCGACAAAATCCTTTGAAATTTTGAAAATGGTTAAACATTATAAAGATCTACAGTATGGTATATAAGAATTATCAGAAAAGGCATGCGCATGCACGTGTGCTGCAATCTGATTGGCTGAAACTTTAAATGTCTATAACTTTCTAAGTTTTCAATGAAATGGGATACAATTTAGAATATAAATAGGTATAATGGATTGCTACATAATGGTTCTATCAAAATGAATATACTTACATGTATTCATGCACGTGCGCGCCCGAAATACGCAAAATGGCCAATATTTTTTAAAAACAGTAAAATGTATATTGTAAACATTTTTTTTCATTTATTCTCACGATATATAGATATTTTTATTGTTTAGACAACATGCCATGATCATCTTGAATGTGCATGCATGTGCGTGTACGCACAATGCGTTAATGACATATAGTTGATGTCTTTGTAGCTTTTATAATTCTTTGATGAAATCATTCGATACTGATAATATTTTTAAGTATGTCTTACAGGAATTTGGCACAAAAAGGGATTTGGGGAGAGTTTTGGGAACATCTGTAACGGTCCCCGTTACAATTAGCACTAGTTTGAATTAATAATGCATTATATTTAGAAATTTATCTTATCGATAAAAGCACTGAAAAACAGTATTTCTGTTATGCATTAAGATCCTTGTTTATTCTTTGACTGAATTGCTTTTATAAAAAGATGAGTTAATTCAACATTAAGTTGAATTGAGAAATCCACTAGGTATTAAAGAACGTCCTAACAAGGTTTCTCGTGATATTGAAAGTCTTAGCTTGATACCTTAAAATTAAATATCAAATAAAACAAAATAAGGCCCAATATGCTTCTTTTAGCGCTACAGTACATTTAATATGACCTTTTTGCACTGAATTTGTGTCTTAATAATAACAATCTTCGATGTTTTCCCTTCAATATTTTTTTAATCCAAAAAATCACGAGATAAAATAAACTATACGTCTAAAAAAAAGACACTTTAAAATTGTGACTAAGAAAAAGTTTCAAACTGCTTCGCATAATCATTTTTTTTTTTTTTATATATTTCTGCACTCACAAAATGTGGATTTTTCTGGCATTGAAAATTAACTAAGCAGGAAAACTATTTTAAATTCTTAAACTGTTTCTGAATTTAAGCATATAAGTCATTGTTACGTGAAAAATATTCAGAAAAAACATCAAAAGTGGGGTAAATTGTTGTAAAGAACAAAGTATAATTTTAATACAAATGTTGCCCTGTGATTTTCTTGAAAATGAAACCGAAGTAAAAGATAATAACTCATGTTTTCTGAATCATTGAAATTCCATGCAGAAAAATCATTCAAATTATTTTTCTCTCATGCATTTATAAATGCTAATTGAGAGGTCATAAACATGTGAATTTTCCTGCATGTTCTTAAAAAGTAGCAGAAAACACCAATTTTCAATGGAATTTTCTTTCAGATAAAATTTTCCAAAGGCGTCGCCCACAAAGATTTTAAGATATGTGATATTTTATTACATGTTGCACAACATATCCAAAAATTAAAGTGGGCGATTTATTATTTGATAATCTTTATTTCAAAGTTGAAAGGTAAGCATATTTAGTGGAAAATTGGTTTACTAGAGCTATATAAAATGAATTGAGAACATGAATGGGTCAAGTTCCATTTTTCGTTAACGCTTAAATGTTGGAATCGTAAATATGAAATCTTTTTCATTCGTCCAAAAAAATGGAATCTGAACCCATTCTACATGAATATCCAAAATTTCTGAAAAAATGTATGCATCAACAACCTTGTTAATTTAAATCACACTGACAGACGTCGATAATGTATATTCTTCGTAGCGTAGTGGTTAAAGCGGTCGGTCTTGAACCAAACCCTGCGCTATGGAGAATCATACATGAAGCTTTTTCTTTTCGCATATCTTAAAAACATGGGTAAAGTATAGATTATTATTAAATTATTAAAACAATAAAATACAGAATTAAATGTGTAAAAGATGATATAAACAATATAATTTTGAAAAAAATATAAATTTTAAGATTGAGAAATGTCTTTTCTCAGAGCGGGGGATTGTCCTCGCCTTGTTCGCCTCCATTCCTTGTTTATTTTGTCACATTGCCAAGTGTTTGCAATAAAATTTTCGTAAAGACCAAAATTGATTTCATCATCAAAATGAAAAACAGTACATAATTAACGTGCATCATCAATATAAACATTTCGTGCACACACGTTGCACAGCCCAGTCATAGTGCCCTAGTTAATAAAAGCGTTATGAATAGGGATATCCTATTTTTATCAAAAAACGGTGGTTTTCAACTTATTGTAGTGTCTCAATGAACTACACATATCCAAATAGATTAAAGTTTTTTGAATATATATTTTGTGTTAGACGTTGTTTCAATCATATTAAGAATTAATATAATGACTGGACGCTGTTTTATTCGGATGGACGACGTTGCCTTCTCTGTAGTTTTGTCGCCCGCGTGGCGCAGTGGTTAGAGCGTCTGCTCTAGAGTCGCGATGTAAGGAGTCAATCCTTACTTGTCGCAGTAGGTGCTGGCAAGAAAAAGATCCCTCCCATCTTAATGGCCCTGAGTGCCGAGCATAGGACAAAATTTGAAGCTCTCCACCGGCAAGTGGTGGCGTCTCCATATGAGTGAAAAATTCTCGAGAGGGACGTTAAACAATATACAATCAATCAATCAATCTCTGTAGTTTTCATAACTACTTTTTGATGCTTTCGCCTTATATTGTTAGTGACTGCGTAGTAGGCGATACTAAAGAGATAAAAAAAAAATGACGATAGCCACGTTATTTGCGACAAATTTGATTTATATAAATTTCCGATTTATTTCATAAAGAAAATAATAATTTTAATCTGAAAAATTTATTTAAAAGAAAATATATGGCATATTCACCCTTATCGGTGCCCATTTTCGGCGAACTTTAATGACGGGAATTTTTACGAACATATTAAGATCAAAAGATAAAAAAAACTATTCTAACTTTTATCTTCTTAACTTATATTTTGGTATACAATAAGTATATTTTGAATCATTCTTTTTGAAAAAAACGTCATCCTCCACGAGCTTTTTGGACCTCTTATCCTTGTTTTTTTCTGGTGACTGATAACAATATAACTTTAGTTATTAAATTTTGAAACTCCACTAAATAATATCGAAAAACTTTTATAGATCTTATTTTACATACTCGTTGCCGTTTTTCGGAAGTTGCCGCTGACTCTTCTTTAGGAGGTTCTGCTTTTTGTTCTTTGGGAGGTTCCTCTGTATTCTGTTGATTAGGCCCCATTATTAGTTCTTTGATAAAATTCCTGTCATCTTCAAATAGTCCATTGTCTTCTAACACAGAGTTTAAATCGTTACGTTTCAATAGGTGATCAAACATCTTCACAGATAATTCTTCATGCTAGAATAACAATAATTATAATCATGCTTAAAATATTAATATAAATAAAAATTTCACTCCAATATAGGGATCTGACCTATATGGCCGGGCTTGTTTTGTCCTCTACAAAAAGCAGATCGATTTCTATTCCATTGAAAGTGTTGATGCTGAATGCATGTAATAATTTATATTCATTTCAGTGAGTAGAAGTAGGAAGAACCCTTTTGGCAATTCTGAGTTAATGATCTCCAAAAGAAATTAATTTATAGTTTTTTTTCAATTCTCATTTTATTTCATGTTAATGTCTACAGTCTCAATTCTATTCTTCATGTCTATATATTTATTTCTCAACATATTTTCCTGGATATCATAAAGCATTACATTAATGTATACAAATTATATAAAATTTTAATGAAATTCAAGGGGGTGCAGTTACTGATATATATGTTGTCAAAACTTCAAAACTTTGACCGTTCACGGTAGCTCAGTCGGAAGAGCGCTCGCTCCATGATAGGGAGGTCGTGAGTTCGAATCTTGGCCGCGACTGACCCAGTCGATAAAAATGGGTAGTAACTATTCCTTCGCCATGCACTCGGCACTTTGCATTGAAAGTTACGGGTCCTTCGGATGAGACCTAAAAACGCAACAGGCGTACGATAAAGGTCTCTCATTGCTCAATGGCCCTGAGTGCGGAGTAAAGGTCAAAATTTGAAGCCCTTCACCGGCTTACGGTGACGTCTCCATATGAGTGAAAAATTCTCGAGAGGGACGTTAAACAATATACAATAAATCAATAGATAAAAAATTTGATCTACTGTTGTGGTCTGACCCTACCCGGGGGTCATGGTTTAAATAGGTTTAAATACTGTAAACTAACTTTTATTCGCGTGCGAGAAATTTTCGCGAAGTTCGCGAGAGCCTTGACATCGCAAATGTTTCTTGCCGCGAACCAGTTTATAAAGTCTTTGTTTCCATTAACAACAGATGAAAAAAAAAGACTTGCTCGCGAAACTAGTTCAACTCCGCTAAATCAGAATAAATCAGGATAAATCCGCTGTCTACAGCAACCGATATGTGATATGTTTGAAGATATATAAGGAAGTTAGGAGATAAATATCAGTTTTCTCTACATAAATTATGCAAGTATTTATCTAAAAAAATACCTTCATTTTCTTACTGACAGCTGGTAGAAAGTGGCCATCAAACATATGTGAAAAAGGTCCATGTCCTTTAAAAACAAGCAAAATTCTGAATTCGCCTTTTGAAAATCTTCGAATTTTCTTGGTCAAAGCGTTAGAAGTGATTATACATGTTTGAATCTGCATTTCCAATTATAATTATGTCTCAAGCATGCGAATTTTACATTGGATTTGGTCATAAAAGTGGAAAATGAATCAATAAACAAACAGAGAAAAAAAAAATCAATGCATACTTAAAAGTAAAGCTTGTAAGTTTTAGTACTTTGTGTAATATTTCCTCATTGAATCACATATGTCTATCTTACCAAGGTCATGGCAAAGTCCTGCAATCTTTACACACAAGATATCCTCTTTTGAGATTTCAAGTTCTGGCTGTCGATTTTTCAGCATAGTTACAAGTTCTCCCGCTAAATGATAAACTCTGAAATAAGAAATGATTTTTACCGTACAGGATAAATACATTATCGTTTTGTCATGAAAATAATAAACTTGCAATCAGTTGAACATAGCCCTTCTTGGAAATTATACCGCTTATTTGAGTTCATCCAACAATATACGCCGTTATCAAAGCTCTATCCTTTTATTATATGTCATCATTCACCTCCTTTTTGTGAAAGAAAACTAATAAATGTGATTAGCCGGAATTTATTTATCCATCCATACAGTGTCGGTAATTAGTCACTAGGTTTACGGGTTATCTCCCCTTTTCTATGCATCAATGAAAGTGAAAGGTGGGTGATGAAAGTATACGATTTATTTTTTTTTGTATTAAATTATGAATTATTTTATCATAATTTTAAGTTTTTAAAATTAAGTTTTAGTCAAAAAAAGTAACACAGATCATCTTATTATCATTGATATTGCTCAATGGCAAGTATTTTATTGGATTGAAACAGATCGATTTGCCACCCATCCATGCTTTAAACACTGGTACAAGAGATTACAATGTGGTAATAATAACCAATTTCATCAGCAGATTTTGAGTAAGGAATTAAGCGTACTTAGTGAAATAAAATTTTAAAAAATGAGGCAATGTAAAAATAGGTATGAACTTCAACTTTATTTATTCCACGTTATTCAAGGTCATTGGTCAATAAACATCCGTACACATGGTAGCCTATGTTCAGATACTTAAGTACCTTGGCCTATCTTTAGGGGATTTAGAAATGGTAATATCCATAATTATTATTTCTTACAATATCAGAATGCTTTTGTAACTTTGGGTTTGTTTCATTTATCAGTTTATTTAAAATATTGAGTGATTTATAAAAAAAAAGATAAAAAAAAAAAAAAAACAAATGTTCAAGGATAGGGTTAACCTAGCTGTGCCATACTAGTCTACCCTTTTCCTTATAAAAACAGTGAATAAATAGAAAAAATACAGATTGAGAAGTAATAAAAGTTTGATAAATCTTTAGAAATGATATTTAGCTAAATTCACAAAGGGATAGAACTCTAATTAAAGTATATAAATTTTTAATCAAGGCCATTCAGCTTTAACAAGTGTCGAAAGAGAGGCATCGAAGATATGCAATTGCGACAAAAGCAGTGATCAATTGTGAAATAAAATAGTTTGAATTAAAATACAGAACAAGTTTTGGTGCTTTTGAATGTAACATTACAATCACAATAATGCATTTTATGATATGAATGAAACATCAAGTAAGATGAGTATTTGTTAACATATACATATTTACAGTTGTACACATGCTATATGACAATATATATATACATATATATATATATATATATATATATATATATATATATATATATATATATATATATATATATATATATATATATATATATATATATATATATATAGGCTGTTCATTCATTTGGAAGCCGTTTCCAGTGTACATGAGCATAATCATGAATTTCTCTAACAGCGCCACTAACATAATTGAGAAGGTCTGATGATAACACAATATAAACACATAAATTAAAAGGTGCTAGGTGGTTGTGGCCATTTTTAGACTATTTTGACCTCTTTTAGAAAAAGAGCTTCATATAAAAATAAACTATAAAATTTATGAAATTTTTATTGCCGAATGATAGTTGACAGCTTAAGATATCATATTCCAAAATTTAAATTATATCTGTTGGTTGATAATTGTTGAACCACGAGCTTCCTTAATGTCGTCTCCTCCCGTAACTGCATAAAGGCCTTGTATTTTACATAGTAACTGTTGTGTTAAACAAATAAAAAGTTTTGTACCATCTTTAGTTAAAATGAAAAATCAGGTAAACTTATTTTACTATTTCATTTATTGTATAGAATATTTCACAAATGTTGATTATTTACACAGAGATTAATTTCAACAGGGGCTTTTATTTCCTGACAATTTTCTAAAAATATGGGTCTAATCACTTGTTTAATATTTATACAAGAAGAGAACTTTGGGTATTTAAATATAATTCTACAAATAAAAAACTATATAAAAAAATGAATAATAATAATCTATAGGCTAATTAAGGCACTTGAAATAAATAATTAAAAAAAAATTGTCAAGAGCATTTGGAAATTAACATAATAAACATTTATTCCTTTGAGTTATCTTTCTCATTGGGGAAAGTGACCTTAAAATAAGAAATGCAACTTAAATTCCCTGAATTTTTACAAATTTTACTCAAGTTATTCAACTTAGCAAAGGGAATGAGGGACACATTACAGAGTTCTTCAGGTGCTACAGTCAATGCAGGCTCATTTGAATACAGCTCACAGTGCTGGTACTTTCTATGTATTTTCTTTATGGCATATGCTGTATGAAAGGTCATACAATAATAATAATAACTAGATACGATCTCGTTGCGAGCAACGAGTGGGTCTTCCGTCCGCTTCTTGATGAAATGAGATAAAATTTTGATTGAGATTTTCATTCTAAAATAATGATTTTCCATGAACTGTTAAAAGACATTGAACATTTAAGACTTAAAAAAATCGACTTTTAGCCCCTCATGGTCCCTAATGTTAGGGATCAGCCCTTTTTTCTTCATATCATCTTGAAGCTCTCTAAATATCAATTAAAAATTTTGGCCCCTCTTGGCCCCTAATTTGAGTGCCCAGCCCCTTTTTCTTGATTTCATCTTAAAGTTCTTAGGATTTTGAACACTTTTTGTTCAACAAATATTCAATGATTCTTTTTCGTTTTCGAGTTATCCGCAAAAGACATATTTAGGGGCCAACCCTTCAACTCCCTAATGGGGACGTTTAGCGAAAAATGAAAGGTTGTTCATAATTCAGAACATTATTTTGAACATCTTTTGTTCAATGTTACTTATCAAAATATTTCTCACTTTCGGGATATAAAGCGTCAAAAATTTAGCTTTCTGGCCCCTTGTGGCCCCTAATTATGTACCATACGACATGAAAATCATAATATATAGTTGTAGATTGTTGAGATAAACATTTTTGCTTCAGTAATGTATAACAAAATATTGACTGCTAAAAAGTTATCGATTAAAGACTTTCGGCCCCTCACGTCCCCTAATTTGAGTGTCCAGCCCCTTTTTCTGGATTTTAACCTAAACCTCTCAGGATATTAAACATTTTTTGTACAACAACTATTTAGAGATTCTCTTTCGTTTTCGAGTTATTTGCAAAAGAAATATTTAGGGGCCAACCTTTCAACTCCTTAATGGGAACGTTTAGCAAAAAATTAAAGGTGTCATATTGTTAGGAACATTATTTTGACTATCTTTTGTTCAATATTACTTATCAAAATATTTCCCACTTTTGAGATATGAAACGTCAAAGATTTAGCATTTTAGCCCCTTGTGGCCCCTATTTATGTAACAAATGACATAAAAATCATAATATACAGTTGTAGATTTTTAAGATAAATATTTTTGCTTCAGTAATTTATAACAAAATATTGACCGTTAAAGAGTTATCGAAAAAAGACTTTTAGCCCTTTTGGCCCCTAATGTGATAAGTCAGCACTTTTTTCTTGATATCATATTAAGGATCTTGTCATTCTGCACAAATTTTGTTCAGTATGTTTTAACAAAATAATTATACTTTAAAAGATATGATGCAAAATGTCTTAAAAATCAGTCATGATTCGTGTCCTAAATTTTGACCCCTACCGAGCTTCCATACTATGCACTTCCGGAAAATATCATGACCCAGGTGCAACATGGAAACATGTCCTCTATCATCCCTGAAAAAATCAGCTTTCTAGCTTGAGCCGTTTTTGAGTAATGTGACAGACACGGAGGTCCTCTAAATTTCGATCAAAGGGCGATAACTCTCGACTGAAAAGAATTTCCGAAAAAGGACTTTCCGGAATTAACTTCAGATGTCAATGCATCAACCATGAAAATTTGGATAAAATCGGTCGAGCCATCTCCGAGAAATCCTCTGCACAAATTTTGTAAGAAGAAAAAAGAAGAAAAACTAGATACGATCTCGTTGCGAGCAACGAGTGGGTCTTCCGTTCGATTCTTGATGAGATGAGATTAGATTTTGATTGAGATTTTCATTCGAAAAAAATGATTTTTTTCATAATCTGTAAAAAGACATTGAACAATAAAAAACTTCTAAAATCGATTTTGACCCCTACCGGCCCCTAAAATTAAGGATCAGCCCTTTTTTCTTAATATCATTTTAAAGCTCTCAGGATTTTGAACACTTTTTGTTCAACAACTCTTCAGAGATTCTGTATCTTTTCGAGTTATTTGCAAAAGAAATATTTAGGGGCCAACCCTTCAACTCCCTAATGGGGACGTTTAACGAAAAATAAAAGGTTGCATATTGTTCAGTACATGATTTTGAACATCTTTTGTTCAATATTACTTGTCAAAATATTTTTCACTTTCGAGATATAAAGCGTCAAAGATTAAGCACTCTGGCCCCTTTTGGCCCTTAATTATGTAACATACGACATTAAAATCATAATATACAGTTGTATATTGTTGAGTTAAACATTTTTGCTTCAGTAATGTATAACTAAATATTGACTGTTAAAGAGTTATCGAAAAAAGACTTTTAGCCCCTTTTGGCCCCTAATTTGAGCACCCAGCCCCTTTTTCTGGATTTCATCTTGGAGCTCTTAAGATTTTGAACACTTTTTGTTCAACAACTATTCAAAGATTCTTTTTCGTTTTCGAGTTATTTGCAAAAGAAATATTTAGGGGCCAACCCTTCAACTCCCTAATGGGGACGTTTAGCGAAAAATAAAAGGTTGCATATTGTTCAGTACATGATTTTGAACATCTTTTGTTCAATATTACTTGTCAAAATATTTCTCACTTTCGAGATATAAAGCGTCAAAGATTAAGCACTCTGGCCCCTTTTGGCCCCTAATTACGTACCATACGACATAAAAATTATAATATACAGTAGTAGATTGTTGAGATAAACATTTTTGCTTCAGTAATGTATATCAAAATATTGACTGTTAAATAATTATCGAAAAAATACTTTAAGCCCCTTTTGGCCCCTAATGTGATGAGTCAGCACTTTTTTCTTGATATCATTTTAAAGATCTTGTCATTCTGTACAAATTTTGTTCAGTATTTTTTAACAAAATAATTATACTTTAAAAGATATAATGTAAAATGTCTTAAAAAATCAGTCATGATTCGTGTCCTAAATTTTGACCCCTACCGAGCTTCCATACTAGAAACTTCCGGAAAATATCCTGACCCAGGTGCAACATGGCAACATGTCCTCTATTATCACTGAAAATTTCAGCGCTCTAGCTTAAGCCGTTATTGAGTTCTATCACAGACACGGAGGTCGTCTGAATTTTAAGAAAAGGGCGATAACTCTAGACCGGAAGTGATTTTCAAAAAATCCTTCAGCCGGAATTAACTTCAGATAATTCTACACCAACCCTGAAAATTTGAAACAAATCGATCGAAAGATCTCTGAGGAATCGTCGGCACAAAATTTGTGCAGAAAAAAAGAATAATAACTAGATACGATCTCGTTGCGAGCAACGAGTGGGTCTTCCGTCCAATTTTTGATGAAATGAGATAAGATTTTGACTGGGATTTTCATTCAGAATAATGTTTTTTAGGTAATTGATGTTGATTTGTGTAAATTTGTATTTGGACAGATGGAGAACATAAAACTTTATGTTCCAAAATCTCTTTAAGGTCAAATAAATTATCACTTAAACAATTTAATTTCTTTTAAAAATCGAGGGCTATATTTTTTTGACGAATAGA